AGTCATTATTTTTGAAATTAGTCGTTTGTACCATTTGCTTAGAATTGCATGACCTCATAATTAATATTAGGTATACCGATTTATGTGTATGGGATTTTCCACAATATGCACAGTATGTTCCGTAGCGAAAGCTTTGTAATGACTATATAAGTTTGAAGTTGCTTTTGGCCCACGCTATTTGTAAATATATTTCAAATCAACAATGCGATAAGTTAATGAAGCGTTAAAAATAGACATGTCTCACATGGGAGATTATTGTGAAACGATACGTTTTACAGGGTCATCATCATGAATTTACTTCTCTTGGTTGATTTTGTGACAGTCGCAGCAATGGCGGACGAAGATGCAAGTGCTGCGTTTAAAGACAGTGTGACCTCGTTCTCGGTGAAGGTGTATAAGGTAATATTTCATTTGTTAGTACCGACCCCTGTAAATTTGTCTATTTTAGGAGATGGCCGCAGCCTCTCCGGGAAGCTTTCTGGTCTGTCCTCTTTCGTCTGAGTTAGTACTCGCTCTAGTGCTAAACGGCGCGAGAGAGAGGACAGCGCTGCAACTCGCGAATGGCATCTCGTTGCCAAATGATTTACCTACAACCAACAAAATGGTGAACGCAGCTGTAACCCAAATTCAAAGCGATAGGAGTTACACCTTGAAGAGCGTAAACAAAATTTTTGTCAGCGATGACACTACAATTAAGGACACGTTTGCTAAAACCGCACAGGAAATCTTCGAATCTAGCGTTGGAACTATAGATTTTAAAAACAAGAAAGCGTCCGTTGACCAGGTCAACGCATGGGCGGCTGAAAACACAGAGAACCGCATCAACAACCTACTAACGACCCAAGACGTCAAGGACGATACGCGGATGATTCTCCTAAACGCCATTTACTTCCAAGCAACGTGGGCGAAGAGATTCCGGGAGCAAAGCACGACCCAAAAACCTTTCTATGGTTCTCCAAATCAAGTTGCCATGATGGAACAGACAGACAACTTTGACTACTTTGATCATCCGAACGCACAGTTCCTCAAGATGTCTTACTTGGGCGGATCTAATATTGCTATGGTAGTAGCACTCCCGAAAGACAATAACGGGTTAAGTAAATTGGAAGAACAAATCGAGGACACTCTCAGTTCCAAAGACTTTGGGTACAAAAAAGTGCACGTCCTCTTCCCAAAATTCACTATGGACACCAAGATCAAAATGAAACCACTTCTCGAGAAGGTAAGTTCGCTGTTCCCATAGAGCGACCCAGTTACCTCCTGTACTTATAGATAGGCATCATTGATCTCTTCAAACCTACAGCTGATTTAACGAATATGTCGGACAGCAGCTTATACGTCAGCGAAGTGGTGCAGAAGAACTACATCGAGGTGAACGAAAAGGGAACGATCGCGGCATCCGCTACCGCCGGTAGGTCGCTTACCACGTGAATATTGCTGATAACAAATTTTAGCGATTGCTGGCGTGGGAGCTGGTTACAACCCGGAGAAGCCCATAGATTTCGTTGCCGATCATCCGTTTATCTATTACATTGTGTCGCCGGCCGGTATAATGTTTGTCGGCCGATACTATGGACCCGAATAAGACGTTTTTTTTTATTTTTTTATTAATTATGATTCGTTTGTACAATTAATACAGCATTTTTTGGTATTTAAATTTCTTCGTAACAATCACACTTTGGACCAGGAACACACAAAGCGGTCCATCCGTTTCGGCATTGACTGTCATCGCAGTCGTAGTCATCTTGGCATGCCGAACCTGTTCCAGTTTTTCAATAGAATTGTAAAGCATTGGCATTGCACTTACCGAGCTGAAGCATGGCAAACACAGCGTATAGTGCAAACAGAAGGTGAAATGTATTCATGTTGGTGTGGAAGAACAGTGGTGTAATTCCGCACTTGTACTGTCTTGATAAATGTACAAGCGGGATGTGGTCTACAGATCAACCCAGTTAATTAGTTAACCACCGGAATGCGTGTTCTCACATTTTTTTGACGATTTCTGATAAGGGGTTTTTCATACTTTTGAAGAATAGAACACCACCCCTCTATGATCATCTCATAATGTATTGAATCTCATGGAAGGGCCGGACAGATTTGAGCACAATTCGAATTTTGTAAAATGCGCAAGAATCCCACGCCCCACATTCTATAAGAAAATTTTTTTTCCGGGTCGATCTGAAACAATTTTTTGTTCGGGGCTCAAAAAAAGGCAGTGTATTACCTTCCTTTTTACCAAAAATCGACTGCACCAAAATTTCTAGGGAAAACACTTTTTCTTATTAATTTTGATGAGTAGAATCCAAAACAATTCGTACTTTTTCGATCGGACTTCTCAATCAAAAGTTATGGACTAGAAACCAATTGCGAAAGAAAATTCAAAGGGCTGTAACTTTTGAACTAGTAGCCCAATCTTGGAACTGTTTGAAATTATAGATTCTACACTTTTTCTTATTAATTTTGGTGTGAAGAATCCAAATCAATTCGTACTTTTTCGATCAAACTTCTCAATCAAAAGTTATAGACCAATTTCGAAAAAAAATTCAAAGGGCTGTAACTTTTGAACTAGTACCCCAATCTTGGAACTGTTTGAAGTTATGGATTCTACACTTTTTCTTATTAATTTTGGTGTGAAGAATCCAAATCAATTCGTACTTTTTCGATCAGACTTCTCAATCAAAAGTTATAGACCAATTTCGAAAAAAATTCAAAGGGCTGTAACTTTTGAACTAGTCGCCCAATTTTGGAACTGTTTGAAATTATGGATT